GGGTGCCCTTTACATATGAAAACTCAAATTTTTTTCTAGTTCTCACTTCGCTAAGCATCTATAAGATAGATGGAGCCCTATCGCTTCCAAGCCAGTCAAGAAACTGCGAAACTACCCATAAAAACACATTCTCGGGAACAAAATACCTGTGAAAGTATTTTTAAGAAAGATCAGAATAGCGTTTCTTAGAAAGGTATGACACAGCTGGAATAAAGGACTGTTTTGACTTTTGACTATGTATATGCACAAAAGATTTTGGAAGCGGAGAATTACCTTAGTGGACAGAAACCTTAAGTGGAAGTATAGTTTTGGCCAACCTTCAAGCCTGCTTTTATTCGAAATTTTTGATTTCTTCCTGAATAAACAAACAAAAACGGGATCCATTCTAAGTGCTGATGGTAGCCTGTTAAGCACACAGCTGTACCAAATTTCAGATCAATTCGTTGAGAAGCAGATGAGTTACGGCAGTTTTCAGGGTGGACATATAGTTTTGGCCAGCACTGTATGTTTTCTTGGGCATTCAAAGTGGTCGTTCAAAATTATGTAATGTTTGAGACCAGCGTAATTGGTTGCACAAAGCCTCAGGACATCTGAGATTCAGAAAACTCGTAATTTACCAATGTCATCCGTTGCAAAGGTAAAGAATAAATCTTATTGTTAGAATCTCGATAGGTTTCTTCGTAAAGGAACCTCGAAATATATAAGAACCCTCAAAAGTTTGGGCATTTGTGTTTGACAATCGTATACTGAATTTAAAAATCCAGAATAATAGAAGAAATTGAATGTGTATCAAGGGTGAAAATGATCGCAGAAATGTTTGCTGTGTGTCAAACTAATTGAAGCGCTGAATTTCCCAGAAGTTGCCATAAATCAGAAATGTCAGAAAAAACTTAAAGTAAAATCCGCAATAGTCAGTCATGTACTTTTGACAACGCATCCTAAGTACTTTCTGAGATTTTCTGAAAAGGTGGGGGGCTTTTCTATGAAACCCAATTTAGGCAATCGTTCAGCAAAATTGTCTCTATCTTTCACGGTGTGTTCAGAGCCCGGCACGAGTCGGTCTCTAGGGTTTCTGAAAACGAAGTCTACCCTAACTTTCAGAAAATTTACGAAGTCCTCTTTGACCTTAGAAGAAGATGAAAACGAGAAAGGTTTACTAGTCTGAGGAAAAAACGTGAAATAAGTGGGAGAATCCAGATTGGAGCTGAATACTATATGCGCAAGAGTTTGGCATTGGAGCGCGATATTTAACAAAGTAATTCATGAAGAAAAGCAAAAACAAAGGAAAGGCAATGATATGAAAATGTCTTCATGCTCAGGTATAGATTTTTGACCGGAGAATCCGTCCATGATAGAAAAATTCGAAACTTATGTGAACTGACAAAAATATATGCTCCAGACGATCTCAGATCGTCTGGTGGCCGTCTGGAGACGATCTAAATTTGGAAAAGGTATTCCTTCACAAAAGTTTCCAATACTTTTCACATAATTCTTCCTCAAATAATTTTCTATGCTTACAGTTCAATTTTGGTGTCAAACGATTCTGTGTGCGCTGTAAACAAGCAATTTGTTTATTTTAGCCTTGCTTTCAAATCGCGCGCACTTTTCGCCATACACGATTGAGCATGTCAATCGTGTGGTAACCTGTCCAAAAAGTTTGTATTCGACTAAATGGCGCTTATTCTTGATGTTCGGCACCGATTCGTCAAAAACGATATCTCCTTTGCTTTTTGCTCTAAAAACGAAGTCCAGCCTGCTTCCAGACGATCTGTGCCGGGCCCTGGGTGTGTTGTTCGTTTTGCACTTGTTCACATGGCAATATGCCACGCAATAGTGCAGAAGGCTTTACACTGCGTTCTCAGGACCTGTTTCGGGCTCTGTGATGCGCATATCAATTGTAGGATGTCATTCATAACCACTTTGCGATTCCATCAACTTCAATGTCCTTGGTTATACACATACTCTTTTTTGGGATAAAACTGAAAAAAATCTCATGCCCTACCATGTCTTATTATACAGAATCATCTGATTAAACACACCTAACAATTTCTTGTCGCACTGGTTCGGTGAAATGTGTTTGTTTAGATAAACACACTACCAGAATTTCTTTGACTAAGTCTTTGCAATGGGACACCCCAGAGGTTCCTGAAATTCTAAAATTTACCTCGTACATAATGGATTACAGCCTCTATTCACCGAGGACGTCAGGCAGGAGGCAGCAAAGGCTGGCCGCATTTGCTTTTGGAAGCGCCTACGGAGCTCCAGACTTTCTCGCGCTTCTAATCATTCTTCGCACCTCTGATTACTTTACAAGCTAGATAATCAAACAAGAATCTTGTTGAAGAGTATTTTACTCCAAAGCAAAATGAAAATCTTGCATTTTCTATCAATTTCAGCAATAATCGGTTTCATCCTACAGAATATCTCGTTCAGAGCAGTTTCCTTCAGAATTCGTGGAGTAGAAAAGAATAAGACTGCCGCAAAATAAAAACGTAGCTATGTTTTTGAGGTCGTTATTTTCAATCTTATTATTGAGACGAAAAAGGTTTACAAGAATATGTCCAACATTACGGATTGAAGGTTTGACAGATCAAATAATACTTCCATATCTACTCAAAATTCTGACTTTTATAGCGTTGAATTTGGCTGATTCCTTTTTTGAAAATTATTATTTCATTCGCTTTGAATACGACACATAAAACCTATATCTCACAACCTACCACATTCGAAAAGCTTACGAAATTGGGCATAGGCCATAACCATAAATATAACCTCGAGTCATTCGTAACTTATGTGAAATTGCACACTAAGGCCCACTAGCGACGACACTCATACTAGTAGTTCCCCAGTGAAATATTTTATAGCCTAAAAAATGTAGGAATGTGTTCTAATGACCAACATAAAACCAGCTAGAACAAAAGAAACAAGGAAACAACGGGAAATCACTGGAAATGAGCAGGTTCTAGTTTCGCTATTCCTCAGTTAGCGTGTATATTGTGCATTACACATATTAACACGTTTCGGACCGCGAAATCGCGCGCGGCGAAAAAGAGGGTACTTTCAGCCGTTAGCCATCAAAGGAACCTTAATTTGTATACTTTGTGCTACATCTGTAATCAGCTTGTCAGATAAGAATCATACCCAAAGTTCTGAGCGAATTCGAAGTGTTTGAATTTTGTCGCCTGAGAAGGACTTTTGTGCTTTCCTGAAAGATAGGAACAAGAACTCAGTTTCTAATAGTATCCAAAAGTATCTATGTTCTACACGATACACATCATTATTGAAACTACGGTTTTTCTCTTTGAATTCGAAGGAAAGGAAAGTTGCGACGTCGCACGCGTCGATCGGGTTGCCGCACTTCGTTGCAACTGATGTTCGATTTGTGCTCATATCTCCTAAGCGATTATTGACAGCACGACTCTACACAGACACTTGAAATGTAGAAGCTTAGACCTTTGACTTGATAACATTGGACTGAAAGAAAACTTCCTGTAAACGTTGAAAAGATCCTTCAAAAGCGCGTGCTGCACCATGTGCAGCACCGGTCCGAAACGTGTTAAGTTACAAATGACTCGACGATAGATACTTAAAGGTGCGAAGAAGTAATTAGAAGCGCGAGTAACTCTGAAGCTCCTTAGGTGCTTCCATAAGCAGAACCGGTAGGCTTTTGCTGCCACCTGTCCGACCGTCATTCACCGAAATGGTCGATGCTGCAAGTGCAGACGTAGTCGATAAATTTGCAAGTGGTAAATATACTTAAGTTTTTTTTTCTTTGAAACTACCTCGATGCATTTCTATCCTGTAATTTTTTAGTACTTTGGCCCGACTCATTGGCAAATTTAGTGTCTTTAGAGTTTCAGAAGCCAGAGGTGAAAAAAGCATTAGACAAACCTAAGAACTTCGAATTCTTTTTGTTTTGTCGGCGTTGTAGAAGAAAACATAATAAATTCTAATTTCCAAATTGAATTCTCTCTCCCAAAATGCTATTTAAAATTTCAATCTCCAGCAGAAAGTATGCACCGACTCAATATCATGCTTCCCTCAATTTGTGCAGCCAAACCTATTCATGAGAAGAGGGTTGTGATTATGCCACCTGAGGTATTGCTGTCAAATCCAAAGTGTTTGTCACGTGCCATCGTAAAGAAATTCTTATATCGTTCCCTTAATGCGTCTAAAGCAGGAACACGCATCAGATTCACATTTCGTTCGGAACACTCTCCCTGAATCTGTGAACTCTTGTTCCATATCGGCGCGGTGTGTAAGGCAATCACTCTTGCGCAAACATCTGCTGAATGATTGTTCACACGCAGAGTTTGTGAATTGCACTCACAAATGATGATATGCACTTGTTTTGACTTTTTGTAGTCTCGCATATTAGTTACGATTTGGAATCGCTGTCATTTCTTTTCCATAGTTTTTTCCATTTGCCTCTCTTTTTGCTCTTGCATCCATTCGCTCATTTCTGTTACCCACTTCGGAAATGGACTTCATCACTTCACCAAATTTATGCAAAGAATTTCGCCTAATTTCGAACAACTTTCCCGTATTATATTCCGTATTGGAGTTGCAGGATAAACGCAATAAGTTATAGATTCTTGGAACTTTCGAAGATATGTTTGTAAAAATACTAGAATTCATTATTACCCTCTCTTAAATCGTTTGAAATTTTATTAACCGTTCAAAAATCAAAATAAAGCAATATAAAGCTTGGAGAAAGCGGAATCGGATACAAAGAACATCAATGGCTTTTTGAAATACCATTATTCATTCCCAAGGAATTAGAATTTTTCTTTCTATTTTTGTGCAAAAGCTGGCTGGGTGTTTCCCGTACATTGCTTCTCTGATTTATCGGGCGAAGAAAAACATTATATCATCAATACTTATCGCCAACAGTTTTTGGTTGTTAGTAACATTTAGTGATTGAAAAATTTTCGGGATGTTCAAGTGTTTACGTTCAATCCGTCTCTTTGCGTTCCAAATAAACCACACGATTTTCAGAAATGTCTGTCAAGGCTGTTATTTTCGATATGGGAGGAGTGCTAATAGAATCACCCTCTGGGCTGTGGATAGGTCGGTGTATAAACAAAAATGATAGAATCTATCATGACTTATAATAAGCGGCTTAATCTGAAGTTGTGTGGAGTTTGTCCGTTACGAAATTACAGTGAGGAATGATTTACGATACTAAACATCATGTGAGATTAAGATAGCGAGTATGGTTCATTTTTAACTACAGCTCACGTTGCAATAAACCGAACAATGATTTGAGAGACAAGCTCTCAGAAAGTGAGTTTACTACGGTTCACGATGCCAGTGCGAACCTCTGCGAAGCAGAGGTGAAGCGCTGGTATATATATAAAACTCAATGTCTGTGAGGATGTTCGTTTAATTGTTCGTTCGTTATAGAAACGCGCGCCACTGAACCGATCCGGCTGAAACTTCGCACACGTATATTTTCGATCCCGGCGGTGGTTTAGAGCTACTTTCCGCGGCGATTCGCCAGGCCATTCTATCGATTTATTGATTTGTTTACTCAAACCTAAGAAAATGAAGGGCCATCATGGCAACCGATCATTTTTACATATAAGCATGTAAGCAGGGGCGGTAAAGTCCATTTCAGTCTTAAAGTTGGTAGGGTGCGGCAATTAGCCTGAAAGCGCTTTATGCGCATGTTAGAAGAAACCTAGAGGCGTAAGTTTACAAGCTCTTTTGGCTTAACTACATATCTTGAAGTCTCGGGTAAGACCGGGGCCACCAGCTAGTAAGAAATAAGAATCTGACCTTAACCCGTACGGTTAATATGATTTCTTACACTCTAAACGTGCTCACGAAAGTTTTGACTCATAATTTTTTAGAAATGGAAACAGATCTAAAAATTGATAAAGGTTCATTGTTTGCCGCTTTGCTGGATCCAGTTTTTAAAACGGATGGGGAAGCTTTAGAAAGAGGGGAAATCACAGCGGAAGAATTTGATCCGATTTTCACACAATTCTACAATAAGCAGGTAAATCGAGGTGCGAACTGTGCATGAGTGTCCTAATATAATATCTTAATAATCTTAATCTCTATGTTATAATATCTTGTCGTAGTGCGGTGATTTCAGTATGGACGCAATGAAGAGCGAGTTCCAGTGATTTTATCACTTGTTAAGAAAATATATGACATTCATTTGGTTCCGGAAATGACTGAACTACTGAAGGTAATTTAATATTTTGATTTTTGCGACAAAGGAGTTCCCAATTATTGATGACACAGGACTTGCGAAAAGCTGGAATCAAGGTTGCTCTTCTTACCAATAACGTTTTTGCCGATCGAGATCGGCAAATTCCCACTCTCCCGAAAGGACTTGAGAAATACTTCGACGTGGTCGTCGAGTCATGCAGAGTTGGTATGCGAAAACCTGAAGATGCTATATATCATCACACATGTGAACTGTTGAAGGTTACTTGAAAACGATTTCTTCTTCTTCATCGCTAAATACATTTTATTTTAGTTGAAACCAGAAGAATGCATGTTCCTCGATGACCTTGAAGTAAATGTGAAAGGCGCTAGAGATCTAGGCATAAAAACCATTAAGGTACAAATATTTGCTTCTTTATTGCTTCTAGGCAAAGAATTCTAGGTGACTCACCCTCCGACGGCAGCTATGGAAGTGAGAACAGCTTTGAAAGACTCGCTGAAAGCCTCAGCACATGAAAAAGACTTCCTGTGAGAAGAATTTAAGTTAATCATCTCCTCTATAGTATACGAGTTTGATGCTAATAACTCTGTGACTGAAATGCAAGTGCTGTATTCGTATCATTCGCTACATATGTTTATAGTAATTCACTTGAACGCAGAGATTTGTTCCACTTTTTCTTTGAGCAGTTGACACTTTATGCTGCAAATAAGCTACCTCTCTTTTTGTACAAAAATTTTTGTAAACTATTCTTTTTTTTGTGACGAAAGTTTTGTCTCATGCGTGATTACACTTTAAAAATAGTCAAGCAGTTTAATGGAAAGCTTCTGTGTTGTAAAAACTTTCTGTTCTCTGAACAGGGCTTTAAAGAAGGGCTTTAAAAGCAATATCTCACCAAAATTCAGGTACTTTTGCATCTTACAGGCCTTCCCGAAACTATCTAAATACGTGGTTTAATTCAATTTCTCCCAAATTTTTCGAAAACCTCTGAACCGGAATTGGGCAATGGCCATACAAGGGACCTTAACAGATTATGTGGAGACCCGCACTACTACAATTTTGGAAAGACACTGTCTTTAAGGCGCAAGTTTATCGCAGGTCACAAGAAAAGCCGAAGAATATTCAGAGGCTCGCAACAAGTGCCTTTCAAAATTGTCAGCCAGTGCGAACTTTTAGCTAGACATCTGATCTTCACCAAGCTTTGAGCTTTTCAACAAAACGGAAATTATTGACAAAACACCATCATTTTCAAACTCAGCCTTTTATCTCCAGAATCTCAAAAATCTTGTAAGTATAGGAATTAAGTGGGATTCGGTCATTTCAACACATGATTCGATAGAAATTTTTCAGTCCGAAAGACTTCTAAGGTGTTTAACGCCACTTCGGAAAGAAATTGAAGAATTAAGGGTTCTACGACCTAAGTTCTCGTCTTTACACTGGTAACCCCCCAAAACCAAAAGTTCATATCCGCATGTAATGTACATCTTGATTCGCAGTTTACTACCTCATCTCAAAAAGTCTCCAGTAAATTAGCTGCAGTATGCTCAAACAGAATTCTTTGGTAGTTTACATACAAGAAAGCATATGTATATGTATGTACAAGGAAGCAAACAACTACCAAACAGTCTTTGAGTCTCTTCGGCTTTATATGGATATTTTGAGTTTCATCAATAAAAAAATTCGATGATTCAAATAAAATGTAAAGTACCAAATACAGAGTTTTGTAGGTTAATTTTTGCGATAAAAAATTATCATAATTTTTTTCATTTTCATAATTTTCGTAAGCTACACCAACGAAGTTACTAATTTACCCAAATTGATAATCGATTGGTGATGTGTTCATTATTATATAAAGTATCACTGAGCACTTTAATTTGCCAATTATTTGAAAAAGGTGCATCGCAAACACCGTCACAGAGCAGGCGTTTGCAGATTGTTTATCTGAGACTGTAGTTGTAGACAGTAGTAGACTGTGTGTGTTTTGTACCCTACAAAGATTACCTATAGTTTGGCAAACAAGCCCGACTATCTTGCGTTTTTAATTCACTATAGTAATAGATTATGTGCTTGCAAATGCCCATAATATCATCATCTTTTATTTTTCCTAACCACAAGTTCAGTGCAAATGTGAATCAGATTTGGAAGTGCAAGCGAGAAAGACCATTTTTGGAAGTTCTCATTAGATCGAGATTTTGTATGAGGAACTCTGATTTCATAAATACAGAATAGAGTAGCATCATGAAAAAGTCTAGCTTGCTTATATTGATGGTATTCATCATCCGGTGCCTATGGTGTTCAGTTAGTGCCCTCTAACGATGTTTGACATTCCAAAGAATTTCGACGAAGTTTTGCACTTGGTAGTACAGTCGGAATATTCTTGCCACAAAATGTAGTCTCACTGAATCCTCCTTTGAGAAGAATATGTGAATTCATTTATACATTACTGATCTACTAAAAAAGCAAGAAACAACACATGGGAGGGTTTATTTGGAACACAGTCGAGGACCTTTATAAAATTCTCGGAATAATTGAAAATGATCTCCGTGATTTTTAAATCTGGAAGATCAACATTATGGCTTATAGCTGATAGAGGGGATCTGACGACTATAACGAGCTTAGGACTTGTCTGCATATCGTTGCAAAATTCAAAGGACTGCCCAAAAGAAGTACCCACCCCAATCTTCGATCAAACAAAAGTAAATTTCGTTTGATAGACTCATTGAGAATATACCTACGTAACACACTATTGGTGCAATATCAGTGGGACGATAGAAACGCAGATGAGCGATCATAGCATGCGGGCCACATATGATTTTTGGCTTAACGGTCTGTCTAGGCCGTTTCGTAATTCCTCTACAGAAAACAGCGAATATGATAGTTTGTGTGCTGACTCTCATCCATTATGACGGGACATGATTCATGCTTTTAGTGTAACTGTTGAAATTCTCATCACGTCCAATTTCTCAAAGGGAATAGTGAAGAGCCATATTATACAGAAAGCTTTGATGACTCTCAACGCACATGCCAGTTACAGCGAAAGCTTACAAGGCAACGGAACCTCGTTGCCGACATTTTTGATGCGGAAAACATGCGTTTGCTGCACCTAAGTTACGCCCAATTACATTTACCGTCTTGTTGTATCTGCATCCAGACAAAAGATGCAGTCAAAAAATAGTCACAAAGGCCATACATAGGTTCTAGTATTCTATTGACAATTTTGCACAAAAAACTGTTCAATTCTATCAAAATATACTTTTGCACTTCCCGGAGTAAGGTGTTAGGCGGCAAACCCAATTCTTGTACCCCAAAACACTTCCCGAGCAGCGGCAAAAACGGTGGGTGGGGGGTCAGGACCGATACATAACTTGTGAGTTATGGCTCTACACCGTTTGCAAACTGCACTTTTTGTCGCCTTACGGTTGCCCTCCTGCACCTTCTAGTCAAAACTTTGTCCAAATCTGAAGACTGCGGGTTCTTACACGTTTACCATACATGGCATTTATAAGACGACTTCAACAGGGATAAGTCTGAAGAGGTGAACTGTGTCTTTTATAAACGTGTGAAGTTTCCTAGGCACTGCTGTAGCTTGCATAAACTTGCAGGATCTTGTAAAGTCGTGTCAAATCGGGGCAAATCGGTGACTGATACGTCGGCAAAGAATGAATTGGTATCATAAATGTGATTTACTCGCCTACAAAGAGTTGGCTTTTCGTGCTCTGCTCCGGGAACCTTGCCAGGTAATGCTTGTTCATGTCTTCCTGTCGCATAACATTATTCACAAACAATCGTTATCAAAAATAGCACTGTCGTTTCTATCATCCTCTCATTAGGTGAGAATTCTTTACGTTTCCGAAAGAGTGGGAAGATTATCACAAGTTTTAGCTATACGGTCCGGCAAATAAGTTAAACATTTTTTGATGATTGTGAGAAAAGACTACTCCTTATCTTATTGAGTCATTTGTTATTTGAAATGCGTATTGCACACCGACTTCATGCGCTCTACTTCACGAATGGTGAAATTGTGAAAACACCCCTATAGGACGAGTGAGAATGCGTTTTAGTCTCAGAAGGAAAGGATACTTGATGACTCCGGCCATGTGGAATGCGATATATACCATAAGGTGCACCTCGAAACGCTGATTCTAAATCTATGCTCGAAATCTGCAAAGGGTCATTTAAAGGCAGTTTGATCTATTTTACCGTTTGAAGAGGAGAATCTTGAGGAAGTGTAACGTTGTAAATAGGAGGAGGTGAAACGTTGTATTTATATATTTATACAACGTTACACCTCCTCAAGATTCTCCTCAATAGCTTCAAACGGTAAAAAACATATTCAGCATTTGAAGAGGAAAGAAAAATTTTTATTAATGATTTTCATCCTCCGCAGTAGCGCAATTCATTTTTGAAAAAATAATCATAACTCCATCCAGGTTCTCGTTTCGCAGGTATAAAAAACAGTCTTCGAACCAGCATTAAAAGACGCATTTTTTGTTATACAAGCCATTGTGAATGGCCGGGGTCACCAAGTATCCTTCCTTGCTCAGATTCTTTGTTTACTCTTGGTATTCATGTGTAAACAGAGCAATCAGGGCATAGGTTGCCAATGTTCTCCACTTGACCATCAGAATACCAGTTTTCGCATTTCTCTACAAAAGAAAAAATTGAAAATTGTTGTCATACACATACATAACTCGTATGTGTTCAAAACAAACAACGTTTACTTCTTATGCCAAAGCCCTACCCACATCATGCCGACGAGATTCGACTGGCGATGGATCTCCAGGCGTCCCTCAGCATGTGCCCTAATTTTGTAAAAGACTGCATGTCTCCTGTTTCGCTCTCGTCCTTTTCAATTGATAAACGCTGCTCGCCTGGTTCGCACTCGTGCGTGCTAAAATTTCATGGCGAAAAGTCACCAGCACAGTACTCAGTAGCAGCGGCGGTCCTGAAATCTTTATGAAGGGGTAGCTGTCGCTCAAGCTTTCCATAAAAGGAGGTGGGCGGCACCCACCTATGAAAAAGTTTCTTCAAACTAATCAGAATTTTGAAAATTCCAATAATTATCAAGTCATATTCACTTGAACAATTTTATTGCTCATATAGCACTTCCAAAATCTTAGCAATCCATTCCCTTTCTTAGGCCTTGGGCAGAGTTCACGCGATATCACCGCCTCGCGATTCTTCCAACAAGACAACAGTTACAGTTCCACTGCATGCAGATCATCTTGCATTCCGGTTGTGACAGTTTTCTGAAACGATAAATCGTGACTAATTATCACAACCGAAATGCAAGATGATCGGTATGCAATGACTGTTGTCTGTGAATGTGACTGTTGTCTTATTGGGAAAGTCGCTAGGCGATGAAGTCGCGTGGACTCTGCCCGAGGCCTAAGAAATAAAATGGATTGCTAAGTTTTTTGGAAGTGCTATGTAAGCAATGAAATCGTTTAAGTGATTATTTGACTAGTAAATTATTGAAATTCTCAAATTTTCAGCTTGAAGAAACTTTTTCGTAGGCGTGGATACCGTCCCTCCTTTTGTGGAGGATCGTATGCGATAAAAACCTTATATTTGTTTCACAAGTACTATCGTCCTCTACGTCTACATACATTATTTTTGCAGAATGTCTATCAAAGCAGTGATTTTCGACTTGGGTGGAGTGCTGATAGACACACCATCACAGTCGTGGACAGGTAATTTCAATTCATTTGATTAAAGAATGCAACTCAAGTAAATGCGCACAAAGACCATTTTTGTGCGTTTGATTGAGTCCGATTATAGAAGCGAAATGTAAAATGAGTGTTTGCAAAATAAGCGCATTATCATCAAAGAACCACTTCAACTCGTACCTTCCCAAACTTATATTGCTCATATCAAGCACTTGTGAGGTGGAGTAGTCACCGAACTGACACTGAAAATTCTTCCAAATTCTCCTGGCTTTTTGTCCATTAAAACTGTACATACCAAAAATATCCCTTGCAAGTTAGCGAAAAGTTGATGACAAGGGGGAGAGTTCAAATTAGATGGTTTGGTTCTTGAAACAGCAAAATGATTCTGTAAACAAAATTTATTTCTCAACATCCTATACGCAGATAAGTACATAAAACCTTCACGGGACTCACACTAAGTGTTTTTGAATTGGATTTTTCTTTTTGCATTGAAATACCAGAAATGCCCCCAAAGTTTTCCTTTTGGATATAACGTAGCCTTGACCAATAGATAACTTGGTCGTTAATGTACTGAAATAAAATCTGGAATAGCTGTAGCAGCTATGAAACAGTGGCCATAAGACCGGTTGAATCATGGATACCCTTGGAATCCGGTCATCAAAACTGTATTTAGCTTCCAAAATGGTCAAAAATTGAAGGAATATCTGGGCCGGTAGTAATCCCCCCGACTTGGCGGCAGGTCTCGTCGGCAGGTGGCTGGCACCTTTTCTGTGAGGTGGCCAGAAAGTGAGACCCCAAGTTTAGGCCGTCCCAGGCCTTTTTCCAAAAAATTTTCTTGATAAAGATGCCGCCTCGGCTCTGTAGAAAACTCCATAAAAGTCTGCGGTTCCAAAACTCCTCTCTTAGGAAAATATCTGGAACCGCAGGAGGAGCTGCCGGCAACTTCGCGACGTCAGTTGCCGGCAACCTGCCGGCTCGTCGAAATCCGCGAGATGGCAGCTGCCGGCAGGTCAGAGAGCACGGGAAATAGCGTGCTCTTTTGAGAGAGGGAGCTGCCGGCATCTCGACGTGCCCCTACCACGTCGAGGTGGTGGCACCTTTGCCGACGGCGTCTGCGAGTTTGCGAATTGCGGCGGTACACAATTTACGTCACGCGAAAAAATCAAAAATTCTACTTTTCATCAAAAAACTGTCATTTTTCTCATTGTATGAGTTTTTCTTTTTTAAAACGACGATTTTCTTACAGAGAAAAAATCCAGTAATGCCCTAGAATCATAAAGAACACCATCTTTTTTGGCAATCCCTTATAAATTTCGTTTGCACCGATTTCGCCCCTCTCTCGCTCGTATCAATCAGCTGTTGCAGGTCAAAGTCTCTCACGCAATGTATCGATCCCTCTTACAGACAGCCATTTACCAGCGCGTTCCTCCTATTGCTGGTGCAAATGGCAATGTCTGACCGAATGGTCGAATGGTTAACGTGGTGGCACTTCAAGTTAACGCACGTAGGTTCGACCGCGCGCGAGGTAGCAATTTTGCGGCTGTCTGCGTCATCAAGATTTAATGTGCGAAATGATTGCGTGCTAAGGTTACATAAGATTATTAGAACCTACCACTCCGCGAGCTGCCGGCGGAGTTGGCATCTTTCCGCGATGTGTGCCAACTTGCCGGCATCTATGATGCCACCAGGTCGGGGGGATTACTACCGGCCCTGAAGTTACCTCGATAATAAAAAGGATAAAAATTCCAATCGACTTTGAGTTTTTCCAAAAACGGATAATTACATAATTACCCGATTTTTACGGACTACTTTCCTACGCATAAACAGAACAAGTTCCTCTTGGTCATTTAGCACCTCAAACAAAATATCTCAGTAGAAGTAAGAGCACAGTACTACGCTATTAGGTTCCAAGATTTCTTTCCTCAAAATCAGAGGTGAAGCTGTATGGATACTTGATAGTACAGTGCAGAATTTTTCCCGCATGAACAACCCTTTAACAACATTTTTTGCTTGAGAGCGTAACTATAATAAAAAGAATTTAGCTGAAAGAAACTTACAAGGGAAGGATACTAACGAAACGGAGTAACAAATCAAAAAACTCAAGGGAAGGATACTAACGAAACGGAGTAACAAATTAAAAAACTATCTTCCTTATTATTAGATTCGCCTTTTGAGATGAGACACATATATACACATATATTTAAAATCAGCTTTGAACGCTGATTCCAAATATGCTGTTCCCAGCTGCTTAGCGTTATTCCGGTGCGAGTTATGGGCTTGCTGTTATGAGTAATTAACAAACTTCTGAATGTCGTAAGACGGTATGTAAACAGGAATCTGCTCGAGAAAAGCGCTACGATGTTGAGCTAGCATCAGATTAATTCTTTCGATTTTGAAAGGGAGCATTATACAAATGCAAAACCACCTAGACGCCCACATCGTAGCATCAGTAGGTCGAGGAGCACGCAAACTTTGCATAGATAAGAGACCATATCTCGTTTCAGAGTAATGCTAAGCAGCTATGAACAGCATATTTGGAATCAGCGTTCCAAGCTGATTCCAAATATATGTGTATCATGTCAGAAGGCGAATCTAAGTTAGTATCCTTCCCTTGTTAGATCTGCGGTTGAACGTATAACTTATCAGATCCAGTAGTAATCACTCGCATTTGCTACTCACTGCTTTGGAAAAGTTGCAACCCGGAACTTCCCGCACCTTGAGGGGCTGCACTAACCCTATTCATGCGCTTACTACATTACCAGATAAAATTTGGGAGAATCAAGTTATCACAGATAGCCAATGTTGAGAGCATTGGGAACCTCGGCAAGCTTTTCCTAATATAAGCTTCTGATCCCCTTTCATTTCAATTCTTTTTAGTTCTGTTTAGGAAAAACCAAGAAACTTTTTTGAATAAAAACATTGGGAATCAAGCAACTCAGCACTGTGTATTTTTTAGATCTGGAGAAAAATCGAGGATTTGATAGAGGTGCATTCTTGTCGATTCTCAGTTTACCAGTTTTCCAAGATCATCTAGACGAGCTGGAAAGAGGGATAGTTAGCGCAGAAGAATTTGATTCAATGTTTACAGATCATTGCAATAAGAAGGTGGGCTGAATTATTCTTAACATCAACGGATTACTTGTTTAGTGTGGACGTAGCGACACATTTATTCCTCTTATTACAACTTTCATCAAAGGAATCTATGAAATGAAGATATTTCCAGTGATGATTAAACTATTGAAGGTCATTTCCAAAAACTTACTGAAATCAAAATGATGATTCGATTTAGGATTTGCGTTCAGCTGGCTATAAAACTGCTCTTCTTACAAATAATGCTTTTGCGGATCGCGCTCGGCTGGCACCTACTCTTCCAAAGGAAACTGAGAGCTATTTCGACGTCATTGTTGAATCTTGCAGGCTTGGAATCCGTAAGCCAGAAAGCGTCATATATGAGCACGCATGCGGTCAGCTCGAGGTATTTATTGATGAATTACTACGTACATAATCGGCACTATGCAGTCAAGGCCTGAAGACTGCATGTTCCTTGATGACCTCGACGTCAATCTTACAGCAGCAAGAAAAATGGGCATCACTACTGTAAAAGTAAGTGCCTTTAGAGCTTGATTTCATATTATATTGAAAGTTTAGGTGATTTCACCAATCAGTACTGCTGCACAAGTGAGGGGGATACTAAATTTGAAACAGACCTCTTGAAATGGAATAAACTTGAAAGCAACTTTTTCTTCCTATTGATCAAGCATGTGTAGAATTGAGTCATTAACTCTTTTATTCGTCTTTCACCAATCTTATCCAGCTTGAAATCTATGCTCATACTAACATCTGTGAGAAGAGGAAGTAAAGAAACTAACTCGGCAGCAAACCCTTCTAAAAAAGCACTGAATCTGTCCAAAGCCAAGTTACTGCGCAGGCACCTGTAATTTTGCCCTTAAAGGCAGTGTCCGGGAAAAATGTCGTTTTCCAGCTTTTCATTGTTTCGGAGCCTTCTGCCTTGAACCCAAATATGGGTTTTCCGCGCACGAAAATGGCGAAAATGAGATTTTCTCGAAGCTTTACACGCCTGGAAAACGCGTGTAATTGGGCGGGGTCCGGAAGGGGGAGGGGCGCATGTGGAGGACTTACGACCAACGTCAAAAGTGGGGTGTGGCGGGTCGTATTGAGGAGTCAAAAAGGGAGGGGCGTAGTTGGGTGATCTGATAATAGTAATAACATGATATTCGTATCATATCCATAATTAGCATATCAATTAACGCCTATACAAAGTTTGAGAAAATTCTGAAAATTCAAGATACTAGGCTACCTAAGTGAAATGGTCATATTCCAACATGGTTAACTTTGTTTCAAAGGTGAGTTAGCTATCCGTTTTTGCGCTCAAAACAAAGCGCTACTCCGTCTTTGTCCATCTCGGAAATCCCACTTCAAAAGATCTCCAAACTGTGGAATTAGAAGCCAACTAAAATCTCATTTTTCCCATTTTCCGCCTTTAATGGCTGTGCTTTCGCCAACTATTACTCAGAGCAAAGAAAACGAATCAGGCTAAAAACATTCCTATGGAATCTACGAGGTTTAGCCTATCGATTCATGTAAATACTGTCCGCTAAAAATGTTTTTTTGATATAGTTAATGGGGTGTGGCTCACCCCCTTAAAGCTGTGGCAGCCACAGCTTTTAAGGGGGTGTGCCACACCTCATTAACTCCATGAAAACATTTTTAGCAAATTATATTTATATGGATCGATAGCCTAAACCTCGTAGATTCCACAGGAACGTATTAAGCCTGATTCGTTTTCTTTGCTCTGAGTAATAGTTAGTGAAAGCACAGCCATTAAAGGCGGAAAACGGGAAAAATGAGATTTTGTTTGGCTTCTAATTCCACAGTTTGGAGGCCTTTTGAAGTGGGATTCCTGAGGTGGACAAAGAAGGAGCAGAGCTTTGTCTTTTGTGCAAAAACGGATAGCTAATTCACCTTTGAAACAAAGTTAGCCATGTTGGAATATGACTATTTCACTTAGGTAGCCTAGTATCTTGAATCTTCAGAGTTCGCTTAAACTTTGCCTACAGGGGTTAATTGACAGGCTCATTAAGGATATGTTGCCCATTATGTTTGACAGGGCCTTCAGGTAATGCTATCTTAGGTATATAATTCAGGGGGGGCCTTAATAAGGCAGCAATCAGGGGGGGGGGGTCGTGACCAGCTATCATGTGCTACACCCCTTGCTTGACCCTGCTTACGATGTATTTTCGCTGAATGCGGACCTGGAAAGCCTCGAAAAAGGCTCATTTTCGTCACTTTCATGCGCTGAAAAGCCCAGATATGGGTTCCTCATGGCAAGGACGCTCCGATTAGGTAAAAAATAAACTAAGCAACAAAATCTTGCCGAGGCGCTGCCTTCGATACATTGAAGACCGCAGGACGACTATAGTGTGCGTATGGCGTGGACCACATGACACAGTGTGTCAAGTTGGATTTCATTGGAAAGATATTTTGGGATAAATTTACTCCAGAGTTTTCTTTTAACGCGGATCTATAAATAGCCTTCGTCTTCTGTATTCACGTCTTGGAGCAACTGTAGGTACAGTACAAATGGCAGTATGCATGATTTTGTCTGTGTTCAATGGTTCGCGAAAGGCAACTAAAAACCTGCATGGTTGTGTCTGTGTTCAGTTTCAACACCAGGTTACAATATATACGATGGGATTTTGATGTCGAATACAACAAAGGCTTTTCACGTCTTGCATGTCACGCGGACAGGCGAAGTTCTTCCTACTGACAGCTAATTTGCTGTTTTCAAAAGACGATGGCGTAATTTGAAAGGTATTATTTTTTGCAATTATCCTTTGAAGATCAAAACTTGCATGTTAGACTCACAAGAAAAGGATACTTGGTCGTAGCGCAGGTTTATATGAGATGTACTATCTTTTAAAGCATGGAACGCTGCTTCCGGTATCCGCAAAGCGCTCCTGAAATGGGAGTTATGGGATTTTTCGAAGCAAAAATTTGGGGTCTTGGCTAAATTAAAAACGAGTGTTGAGGTCTTTCCGGTTCTTGAATGGAGTAACGATTAGTTTAAGTTTATTAGACTGAAGATACTGACTGCAGTGCGCCCTAGCAAAAACCATAACCCCATCCGAAGTTACAGTTCTGGTTGCACACGGATTTTTGCTTAAAAACTAGTGAGCAGGTTCTAGCTAAGGACTATCTAAACCGCAGCGCTAATGATTCATTTGCGCTGAGAAATCCATCCCCCAACACTCCGCGCCTGCGCCGTGACCGAACCGCTTCGGATGGGTTCTAGCGCGAACACAGTTTTGAAGCGAGCGAAGTCATTTGCGGGTTACGGTCACGGCGCAGGCGAGGGGTTTTCGAGGACGAATTTCCCAGCCGTGAATGGAGAATCTGCGCTGTCGCTTGGGCAGTGCCTTAGCTAGGACTCCCTCACTGATTTCTAGGCGAAAAAAGCCATACGCCCAGATTTGCCTGGACGCTGCCTTCAAAGCGCTTGAAACGCTGATTCCAAATCTATGATTTCTAGCTGCGGAACGGTTTTGTAGAAGGAGTTATGAGGGGTGTTCCCCTTTGGGGTTGAGGCGCCCTCCAGCAGGTTTCCCCTAATCTATGGGCACTGTAGAGGAGTACCAATTGGTGGCAACTGGAGAGTGTTAAGGCTTTCATTCCCTTCGCATCAGTGGCGTACCCAGGATTTCCGTCCGGGGGGGGGGCGACAAAAAATTTTTCCTGATGAAGGTGCGTGGCGTCAGCCACGCACTCCAAAATAATTTTCGGTATACTTTCTAGAATTTTTGCGGACCCAAAACCCCGAAATTTAAAAAAAAGGGATGTGGCGTCAGCCACGCCCCGAAAAAAAATTTTATAAGGCTAAATTGAATTTTTAAAAATTTCCAAAAATACTTTAATTATTTACACTATTTACACTTGCACATTTTTTAGTTCAAATGTCATCTTGTAATGCTTGCTTTGTTTGATGGGATAAGATGGCTGTAATATTTCGGTCCTGTCGCCGTAGCAACCAAATACTTACTTTATGATAGACAGTTATAGTGCCTTACAATGTTAAATGTTCTCTACTTAATAGATGGAAAAAATATGATAGTGAAATACTTTTCCATTTATGCACTTTAATTGGCAACAAATATTGAAACAGTTGCTTTAGACCAAAATATTTGGACATGTGAATGACTATCTCACAACAATTGACGGCTATGGTCATAAATCTGACAAGGGAAATGAGCCGACAGTAAAGTCTGAGTGAGAATAACATTGCTTGAATGCTTTATCTGACGAGCTCGTCTGATCAAATACAGACTTTTTATCAAACGGTCACAAACGTTTATTTGTGTGGATCCTTCGAAAAGTAGTTGTGGAAAGAGTTTGCATTAGGAGATCTTTACATCCCAATGGCGTTACTGTCTATTAAGTAGAATGCGGCATTCCAAAGATCAACATTTTGAGCCGGACAGAGTGAAGTAAGCACTTGAACTGGAATAGCATGGAGAAAGTGAGATCACTTGGGAGCAAATTACAGCCCGATGAAGATTCGCGGGCATAAATGATCTCGCGCTCGCTAACTTTACCTCCCATAACGTTATACAAATATGTACACATTTATAGGGTCGACTATGAACTCTATGTTTGGCCAACATCAAATTATGATATTTATAGAAGCAATGCAGATATTTATAGTACACATAGAGCGCACTCGTAATTCATTATTCGCATACACAGTGATTTTGGATAACTCCTTTTTTGAACGCAGATATATGGCCAATTTTTTTACATCTTATCTTCCATTGCAAAAACAATTTGAGGTCATGCGGATCATTCAGTAATCTCCAATATCTTTCGATTTGTTACCAAAATATGCTGCTTTTTTGCATGAAACCTTGCATGCAATGACTTCACAAGCTGATATAGAAGAACTAAACAAGTAGGTAATTTGCAACATTTTGAGTCAAAACTTTTTGAGTTTTCTTGGCTATTATTGTGCTCAAGTGAACATTTCAGTCTTGCTGTGCAAGCCTCTCTAACTCGCAACGATTTTAGGTGTGAGAATAACTGATCATTATGAACTTGTGCTGAATAGTCTAATTTTAGTATCTGTGCATTCCGCTAGCAAAGTGAAAACTTGCGTGCCTTACACTATGATTTCATCATTGCCGACATTTAACTCTCTCCATTACGTGTAGTGTGTCCCTCGGCCAGCTTCCCATAGATATCTCCGCAAGGCACATTCTTGAACTGCCATCAGGGCGTTTTCCTTTTTCTCTAGCGAAAGAGTAATAAACAAGTGGTTCAACTAAAGTTTGTAACCTAACAAAGCGATGGATATAGAATTGTGTCCTCTTTCTTTTCATACTTTATTTTCCTCTTCATTTTTATATTTGTCAAAATGTAGGGTCAATAAAGGTCCACCATAACAACCTGGTTGGCAGAACAGCACTACACATATTCTGCCTCTTTTTTCTGGACTATGCTCAATTTCTGCTTGAACACTGTATTATCAAAACCGAGACAAAAAGCGGCAGGAGGTGCCTGCGCCCGGAGCTATGGGAAACTGGCCGGGATGCACACTACATGTAGTTTTGACTTTCCAAGCCCAATGGGATACCTCAAGCAAATGCTATGGTTTTGTGATTATCCCTTGGTTCTGTTGCGCTACGCCACTCTATTTTCGAGGATCCAGAGCTTGATGTAGTGATGCGACTTGCTCA